TCTTCAACTGGCCAGTCATACAGAGCCCTTGCAATCAGGTATCATCTGATAGGTCAGAATCTGTGAGTGAGGTTTATTAAGATAATGCTGCTTTACTACTCTGCATGGTTGAAGGACAAAAGCGTGACAAAATGAGTGAAGACAAACGTGCGAATGCCAGAGAGAAACAGCTGTGCAACACTGTGCAAGTCTGAGACATGAACTGAGAACACAGTTCACATATCGCAAGTTGAACTTTATAAGATTTGTTGTGTGTATCTTGATGCTAAAACTGTATGACTCATGATCTTTATTCTTCCTCCTTCTGTGGCAGCTAATCCACCACAGGTTCCCCCTTCATGTTCTTTCAGTATGTGCTGTCATGGTGCACTAGTTTAATACGACACAATAAATTGCAACCGCATACTTGTTGCCAATCTATTTCAACTTCACAGCCAGGAACCTCAATAAGTAGCTTGCTCAGCAATCCTTCCTTACATCTTTTTTTTCCCTCAAAGCATATGGATGAAACATGAACAATACAATGTTTACACGTTTGCCGAGGCGCTGCAACGAGGTGCCAATGGGAACCAGCTGGCAATTACTGTGGTCATATTTAAAGGTAGTTTTAAAATGTGCAAATTAGAGTGGGGATGAAGTGAAACACTGCCAATCATGCATGTTTTACATCAGTAGCTCTTGGCACTATTAAATGGCACCAGCACTAACACAGTGTGTTGCTTTCATGCCACACATGTATGAGCTCAGCTGATGTGTCATTTCATTTATAAAATCTAACTCCATCTTAAATCCTTACCTGCTTAAACCTGCCTTTACATCACAATCTATTTATTATCTATAGCTGCTGATCCTGCTGAGGGTTGCATGTAGCCTCTCCCAGCACGCACTGCACAGCTCTTCACTCCATCATAATACATTTGATGTTGTACAGTCACAGGGTCTATTTAAAAAAGCCAACAGCTGACTGTTATGTCATCTGATCTCTCTTAATAAATACTGTGTTATAAATGTGGGTAATATGATCTTCTGTGCGCTTTGATTTACTACACAGTTAAACATGATGCTGGGCACGGTGCAATAAAACAAGCCTACAGCCTCACTGTGGCATTTAGATACAGAGGTTAAGCAGGTATAATGTTAAGCGTGTTCCCCATTAGTTGAGCATCTTGCATGCTAACATTTGCCAATTAGCACTATGCACAAGCCACAGCTGGTTGATAGGAATGACATTAATATTTAAAGCTGGAGCGCAGGACTTTTACATATAAATGAATATCTGCTACATATTCAAGCCCTCGCCAAACAAGTTCACGCAATGCTGACTAAGCTTATAGTGTGAGCCAGGGAGTCTAACACCCAGAAATTAGTAACATTTTACCACTCACGGTTCCCTCGTTTCAAAGTCAGTACGTTTTTTAAATGGGTTTTGGTGAGATGCCTGACATGAGGTATGTGGTTAACACAAGCTTATGAGGCTTTCACATTTGGTCTACAACATAAAATACATCAGTAAATACCCCACTCGTCAACTCTGAAGCTTGTATGTGCCTTAAAAAAGGCGGTTGCTATTAAGTGGTTAAATTGAGACTACAGAACGTCTTCACATCAAGCCGAGCCAAACGCGGCTTTACGGTGTTGTTATGGTGATGTTAGGTCAAGCAACTGTAGTGTAGTTAGTTTATAGCCCAACGTTAGCTTTTTACCTCTGGCGTTTGCATACAGGCTTTAATAATCATGAATTCATTTGTGAAGATTATCTTGCTGAGCAAAATGTGTCAGTATCATAAACGTTTGTTTGCCACAGAGCTTATTTTCGGCAATAATTAAAAATCCAATGGAAAAATCCCATAGGCTTTTTGACAAGAGAACCAGTTGATGCTAACTTCCACGTCGGCCTACAGAAAAACATCATCCCTCTGTTGCCATCAGGTAAAGCTCTCTGTATTTCGCAGTATACTGGAGTTTTGTGTCCAGTGTCTGCGGTGACTGTCCTGTGCTGGTGCACCAGAAAGGATGAGTTTCCTGTCAACCAGCAAGAGCTAACTGGGGCAGAAAGAGGGGAGAGCTTTATTTATATAAAAAAGGCAGGCTGGAAAGGTCATAGTGACAAAGCAGCAGGAGTATGGCAGAAGCTATGCTGGAAAAGCAGTACAGCACAAATCTACTGAGTTTGGTAGATCAATCTTCTCTGTTAGAGCTACAAACTATTGGGACTCAGTACCAAGTGAGATAAGATAAGTAAAGCTTTGTTGGTTTTAAATTTAAGATGAAATCATGGCTAAAATCAACCCAATCATGCACCCATCACACATGAACTCAAACACTTGATCTAGCATTATGAAATCTTGTTATATCTTAATGATGTAGTTGTATTGTTGTCGCTGTTTCAATGACTTGATGTTGTGTTGTCTTGCTATTGTTACTGCTGAAGCCACTGTGTCATGACTATGCTCTATTTTGTGACTGTGTTTTTTATATATGAGTGTTTTGAGCGGCTGTGGCTCAGAGGTAGAGCGGGTCGTCCACCAATCGCAAGATCAGCGGTTCGATCCCGGGCTCCTCCAGGCTGCATGTCGAAGTATCTTTGAGCAAGATACTGAACCCCAAATTGCTCCTAATGGCTGTTCCATCGGTGTGTGAGTGTGTTAAAACTGAGTAGCAGGTGGCACCTTGTATGGTAGCCTCAGCCACCAGTGTATGAATGTGTGTGTGAATGGGTGAACGTGACTCGTAGTGTAAAAAGTGCTTTGAGTGGTCACTAGATGACTAGAAAGGCGCTATACAAATACAGGTCCATTTACCATCTTTTAGCAGAGAAATTATTCTCTGTTTCCTGCCCAGGGACTACAGATGAAAATTAGCTTGTGGCTAACTCTGGTGCAGCTAAGTGGCTGTGCACTGTAAATAAATAAAAAAAAAAATTCTGAAGTGGATGCTCCAGTTAAAAAAGACACTTGGCTTTCAGAGAAAGGATTAAAGCCAAAATATTTGACTTCAAGAAAGCACTCCTGGCACAGAGAAGATACACCAAGCTCACCTGCTGGCAAATGCCATAAGCACACATCAACAGTGCTTGCATACACTACCAAAAAGGGGAGTTGAAAAAAATCGGCAGTCCAGCTTTAAGTACTGGACAAATTAAAATATTGACCTAATGATGGCACTTGATAAAAGGTCACCAAACTTAATATAATTCATCCTGAGTTGGAACATAAATGCAACAAACTTTAATGGCAATCCATCCAGTAGTTGAGATATTTCAGTCCGGACCATGCTCACGAATCGATCGACAAACAGACCAACATCACTAACACTTTACCAAATGATGCATCACACTGCATCACCACACCATGAGCCAGCATTACATGTTGATTAATTGGTGTTCACCACAGTATTGTAGGTACTGGGATATGATGCATGGTAAACAAACAGGAGCCTCACTACACAACTCTACTAAAAGCAACTGAGATCTGCATTGATCTGAAAAATGGATGATTTCTAAATTATTCAACATGCTCCATCGGTGACACTGTATGGGGGACATATTCGTGGATATTTGCCAGACATAATGCTTATTGAACTATGATTTCTGTTCTGGAACAATAGCAGCAACATTGCTAAGTTATGCATGACAGCAGACTTTGAGTGAGACATGAGGAATGATGTTAGAAATATGGGTAGCATTTGTACCGCAGCATTGTAGTGTGCGTTATAATAAAGGTAAAGAATGTTGTGTTCACAGAGGCATCTCAAACAATAACAAAATATATCAAACAGATAGCTGCATCCAATCATGTCTCAGTTTCTTCACAAATCAATACAGCCTCAAAGACAGATCCACATTTTGTGCTTGGCACAGAATAGATGGCATGTTTTGTACACAGAAAGATAAAAGATTTTTTTTTTTGTTTCCAGGGAGAGGAGGAACAAAGGCAGCGCAAAAAAAAAAAAAAAAAAAGAATACCAGAAACAGCCACCACTTCTATTGTCAAGTGCCAAGGAAAAGGATGGGACGAGAGCACAAACACATGTCAGTAAAGTGTGGCAGCAGAGAGGAGAGGAGAGATGAGAGAGGAGATGAGACGAGGTGGAGAGGGGAGAGGAGTCGGAGCTGGAGGAGATAAATGTCTAGATTCTGGGTTTAGAGAGATAACAGCCATAATGGTAGACACCCTTAGTACACAGAGGCAGTAAAAAGGATGAAGCTGTGCAGTCTGGTAAGGCGCTGCTGTATCTTCAAATGCAGCTTGCTGTATTTTTATATATGAGGGAGGCTTTGCAACAAGGCTGCTTTTGAAAATACACTCATCATACTCTTAACAAAACATATTGCAACACCTTTCTATCAAACAGCGTGTCTGCGGGTATCAGACACTTACATTTGAGGCTTTTTAAGACCTTTTCATGATCTGTTTTTGAACAAATTTAAAACAGATTTTTGGAGAAATTGTGTTTTTGTTATTCAAGATTTGCAGGCAAGTACAAAGGTAAGTATAGTATATATGTAGGCCAATGCAGAGGTAGGTTTTGTGTAGGAATATGATTGTAAGAGTGAGTAGGTTGAGCTATATTTTGCCAACAGGTAAGTGCAAGGGTAAAGTAAAAAGACGGTATTAGGTTTAGCGGTAGGTTTAAAGATTCGTAACATCAGAAATGTGGACTTTGACGAAGACGAGCAAGAGTCATTTGACAAAAAGAAATTAAAGATGGATAAATTAATGCAAATGTCTGCAAAGACTATGAAATTTAAGACACTTTCACTCCCTGAAAACTACACTCTACCTAACACTGGAAGTGCTATGGTATCTTTATCTCTTCCTCTCAATCCTGCTTACAGGTCTCCGATTACTGTCTGCTACACGGTTAAGGTCAAAAGAATCAATCTAGAAAGGAGACACTGTAATTATTAGATTATTTCCCATTAACGGATTGCATTTCAATTGATTTCCTGGAACATAATTGACCTGGTCTGTGGTCAGATGGATTAATAAAAGACTTACACTTCCAAGCAAAGCCAGTGTGATCTGGTATCAGTTGACCCGTCAGTCCATAGCAGCCATGTGATCCCTGTTCCTTTCTTGGTTGGACTTATTGTGGGGGGGTTTCTACCCTCAGTCCTTCGCCTACTCACATCCTCTCTGAGACATCAATAACAGCGCTGGTTGAAGAGATGACTGAGGTCAGTGGTGGGGCTTGAGGTCGTTTTGAGAGTTTAGACTGGGATCAAGGCACAGGGGATCATGGGAACCTGGAAAATTGAGCAAAAAGAAATAGTAAGAGATGTATACAAGTTCAGCCAGAGCTATTCAACATATATTGTTAAGCACAGGCAGATTTCCCCTGACTCACTACTTGAGGCTGACTCAAAGAAAAAACAAAATATCCTTGAAATGCATGAATACACAGCAAGAGAAGTGGAATGAGGGGGAGTTTGCATCTGTGCACAGCATGTCTGCGAGAATGGCTGCATTTAATCAACTGGGTGTGGATATGCAACCATTCCTACCGCACACGTCCAGCGTTTGTTTACTGTTTACTGCAACACCCTCGGCTGCAACTTGTACAACCCACTGTTGCAAAGCGAAAACATTACAGTAACAAGCTATTTATCTCCAGCCATGCAAAACTAATCCTCCCCAAATTAGTCTTCCAGTGTTTGTGGTACACATGAGGAGTTTGCACACATTCACGCGCTTGCTTCCGACAGTATAACTGTAAGAGTCACCTTCAGATCTAATAACAGTAAACATGAGAATGGTGTTCACAATCAATGTAGCCCAATTAAAGATATAACTAAACACAGCCGCAAATTTGCCCGCGGATGTAACTGCATGAAAACCATTGCATGAAGTATGTTGGAATTAATTCCTCCCTCTTAACACAAAGACTTGACTGTGATGTTATTCTATCGCCTTGCTAGAGCCTGAGAAAGAAAGCATGTCCTTCTTGCCCCCTCACTCCTACACTCCCAGAGTCCCACTGCCCACAGGTGTGAGACACAAAGCCATATTGTTAACACTTGGCTGCTGTGACGCAGCCGAGCAGAAAGCAGCGGAGAAGAGGTGAATTAGTCACCAGACCCAGCTGGACGGGCCCACTCAGTCTGAGGCGGGATGAGGGAAATTAATGAACAAGGTATGGAAAACACCTCATTTTCTCACGTACGGTAGGAGCTGTGCTCAACTTTTCCAAATGTTGCAAAGTCTTTGGCGTTTGAACATAAACATGTTTGCCACTAAAAACACCTTTAACCTGAAGACTGTAAATCTGGTCAAAAGATCCTTCATGAATGAGGCTTTAAAAATCTGCTCTTTTACTTCCATAGAGTTGGGGGACTGGTGAGAAAAAGCTAATTCATTGTTAGAAACAGAAAACAGGTTGTGAGAATAGTAGGTGAGAAAAACACTAAAATGGTCCATGGGCCTGGCACAATTTCAGCACTGCTCTAGGTGGCAAAAAAAGATTTTTGCAGAAGTATATTAGCAGTCTTGGAACCCGTCCGCTATTGGTCTGAATACCAATTTAGCTTCTGGAGGTAACAGCCAACAATTTGGGGGTTCTGGTGTAGCTAGCTGATATTCATCCATCCATCCATTTTCACCTGCTTATCCAGGGCCAAGCAAAGCATCCCAGACATCCCTCTCCCAGCAACGCTCTCCAGCTCCTCCTGGGGGACCCCAAGGCGTTCCCAGGCCAGGTGAGATATCTAATCCTTCCTGCATGTCCTGGGTCTACTGCAGGGCCTCCTGCCAGTGGGACATGCCCAGAACACCTCTAATGGGAGGCGCCCAGGAGGGATCCTGATCAGATGCCCGAACCACCTCAACTGACCCCTCTTGACGCAAAGGAGCAGCGGCTCTTCTCCGAGCTCCCTCCGGATGTCCCCCTATCTCTAAGGTTGAGCCCAGCCACCCCACTGAGGAAACTCATTACGGCTGCTAATATCCAGATAACAGACATTTAGGCTAAGACCTCTTCTTCGTGTTTCCTAGACTACATTTGGCACTGTTTTAAATAAAATCTTAGCTTTCATAAAACTTGCATTGTGTTCATCTGACAAATAACCGAGCACAGTTCAGCTTTTAAAATCTCATGACATGCTGTTTTTTAGGTCTCAACAATGGTGTTGTAGCACTGAACACTACGCACATCACAGGCACAACATCTTTATAAAAAATCTGAACACTCACAAGACTGCAAGTATTCAAGTAATGTATAATTTCCCCATACTATCCAATTGTGTGAGGTGATTGTGGTCCTTAAATTAGAAGAATGTGCACACAGGAAAAATGTAAACCTCTCTTTTCATTGCCTTCAAATGCACAGTTTAAACCTGCAGTCATTCAGTGGTGATGAGCAACACTAAAATCAAGTAGTCTGTTTACTGCTCCATATCTTGTCTTTGATTTACAGATCATAGAGATTCATGCACACGCAGTAAGTATACAAAACAGAAAAATCCAAACTGATGCAGCAGAGTCCTCCTGACTTATAGGGGATTCTGCCCCACCATAATGTAACTCAATAATGTCTTTTACAGAGACTCCCTGCCTGGTTAACACCCACGTCTTTCAAACTCCACACCCAAGCACAGGATGACTCAAGTGATGTCATTTCAGTAATTTTCCCAGACTTTCCCAAAGCTCCTCCTAAACCACATAAGACATTATACAACTGTTTGCAAAGGCGGTGTAGCTCTCCCTGTGACTAGTAAGTTGACAGTGACATGTAAAATTGATGAAGGTTTTCTTTGAGGTAACATGCCTCCGACATAGATAAACATGGCTCCAGTGTGTCTGATTGAAACAGCAGAGTAACAAGTCACTCTCTGCTCCATTTATTCTATATGTGGAACTCGTAAATGTACAGAGGGCACAAAAAGGTCGGGGTAAAAAAGAGGACAAACTGTCACAGCACGGCTCATGTGACCTTTGACCTGACCCACAAACTTAAATCTTGTTACTGAATCTGTCAGTCAAAGATGAATCACAGAGGCAGAAATGGCGCTCTTCTCTGGATCTGAGCACATTTCAGCTCCCAGGTTGAACAAATCGTTCTACAGTGGGTTTAAAAAAGTTTAGTTACCATGCAGGGGTGCAATATATCAATAATAGTCAGTGTGCTACAGTGAAGTAATAATACATGTTGAATAAATAGGCAATGTAATATATTATTACTAATGTTAAGAAGCCTGTGCTAAATGATAATAGGTATAAAAAATGTATCAAATATGCTAAGTTATTCATACTGTATTTCACTTGCGTAAAAGTCATTTGGGAGACGTTTATGAAACTGTCGTCATCTTTTCACACAGAGTATTGTTCTCCTTTCAGCTGCGTACATTCAGTCCAAAGGAGAAGGAGACTTGCTCACGGCATACGATTACTGCAGGCACAAGTGCTTCCTTTCTGTGGCACTCTGTCCATTGACTAAGAGGGGAAACATGCAGGCCATTAAAGTTTTATGGGAGTGCAGTCATCACCCAGCACTCTGTGGTTCAATCATTAATTCATACCAAAACAGGCAACATTAAGTATTGTAGCAAAGCATGGCTGTGAGGTTAAGTTCTTTCTTTTGATTAAAACATTAAATGGCACTATTGTTGTCTTATCTTATTATTCTAATCATGATGTGCATGATCAAAATATTTGAAACCCATACCCAAATCTGACGGGTGCTATTCACAATCTGCCACATATTCACTGGATTCAGTGATTCTAGCTATTCATGCTACTTCCATGCTGCCTTTCTGACACATAAATCTAATATTGATGGCGTCGCGTGGCTTCCTGAGATGATGAATCCGCCGTTTCATATGTAATGGGGTAAACTACTGTGGGTCTTCAGAGAGCACAGATGCACGCAGTAACCTTCATTCATGATGCTCAATGTGGAGAGTGAGCTGAGACTGTCAGTGCTTGTCAAAGTCAAGGAAGGATCCTTAAATGACAGCAATTCAAGGATGCTATGTCACCAAATGTCGCAGAGGGATCCTTCGAATTCTGCAGAGGAACGAGACAATTGTTCAAAAATGCCTGTTTGTATTCTCAGTGCTCTTCAAGCAACCACAACCTGGTGCACATGATGCTTTAGTCATGTCCCCGGACTTGGACTTTCAGTCATTTCACCTCAGCAGTCCACCAAAATCTGCTTCTGAACAAATTCTAGGCAAGAAATGAGCAATACAATTGATGAATCCTCACTTATATCTACAAGGCCGAATTTAAAACTTTGCTCTGACATTTGTAATGCAAGGACACAGATGAATTGCTGTTTTTCAGCCGTGCTTTTCTTCTAAAAATGGCGCAGAACAAGAGCAAAGCAATGGATTGCTGATGGTGCAAAATGCATTTAAATGAAAGTTTCAGTGTCCTTGTACATTTGTTGCCACTGTAAATTTGGGAAGTAGTAGTAAAGGAAGACTGCAAGAGGAACCGTGTGTTTTGTCAAGTCAGATTGGGAAATTGCATTGTTTGTGAATTTGATTAAATCTGTGAGGCTGCCTGCTGAGAACTTATCTAATCACTAAGACTAACTGAGATAGAGACAACTGTGTCCTCTGCAAAAAAACATTAAAAGATACTTCTTAGTGTTCGTGTAAAGATCGGTCACTTTGAGGCTTCATGTAACTCCCTGCTACCACAAGTCCTGACATTAAGGGACTGGTCTACTGAGCATATCACAGCCTGAGCCTCGGACACCCACGCTTTAAAATAAGTGGCTACTGCCGAGGGAAATAGCTGAGAAATATTATTTTTATGCCTTCATCATATCAGAGGATGAGTAGAGTAATCTCCATGCTCAAGTTTGAGGACTCTGAAAATGACACTTCTGGGCCACAGTATAGGTGAAGCTAGGGACAAGAGATAATAATCATCGCAATTACAGCTTCAGCACTCATCTACTCTGATACTGCAGCTCATCCAAGGGTGACAAGTTTGGTCCTTTCACTGGAGTCCAGTGTAAGTGGACGGAAACTGTAACAACTGTGAAACACGCAAACAGTGAACCAACATTCCAGTCATGACTATTACGTACTTAAATACGTGATATAAAGTCATTGTTTGGTGTGATATTTTAAACTATATTCTGATCCTGTAGCTGCATTCTCCTTTGTACGTAATGAAATTGCTCTTTGTGTTTAAGCGCAGTAGCACGTTCATTAAAATGAACAGTCAATTTCCTCCTTCTCTATTAGACAGTGACCACACGAGCACTTCCTGTTCTCGCAGCAAGATACACCACAAGTCATAGTTTACTTATGAGACTCTGACTTTGCACTTCAAGTGGCTACATCTCAAACAGATGTGTATCAAAGAAGCATGATAAACTTCAGTGGTTTTTGCAAAGGAGGAACTTTTTGAAACTGGGTTGTGATGATGCAGCGGATGCTTCTTTAATAAAATGTGCATGGATGTAGTCACTTAAGATTGTAACAGAGAAGTGCATCCCTGGCCTACATAGCAGCCTAGATGCATATATGAGGAATACAACCAATTTTATCCGACACACTTCATGATCAAGGCTGAGGTTCAGTTCTATGGACGGATTCATTTGTACGGCCATGCCTCTTTTTTCATTAACAATCAGTGGAAATGGTGACAGGCAACAGACAAAGAAGGCAACGGTGACAAAAGTTACCACAGTTCAGATCTGCAGACTATGAAGGATAATTACCCATTCACCTTATGAAACATTTATACGGCTAAATTAACCTCTTATTATCCTGCATGGCTGAACGTGCCAGCCGAGATAAAAGAGTGTAATCAAGATAATACAGTGTTAAAATATAAATCAGTTTGTATAAAAGCTTTGTTCCTCTGTACAACTCTTCTCTGTCTTAAAGGGGACCTAATATGTTTTCCATATTATCTGTCATATATTTACATAATAAAAAATGTTGGACGTTCACATTAAACATGGCCTTGTGAGCAAAGACCTCAGACTTCAGACCTTTCTGGATACTCTGTTTCAAACTTCTTATTCTACTTTTAAAACTGGCTGCCTGTAACAGATTTCTTTATATGACTATCTGCTTCAGGCAAGTTACTGCATGTGTTTACATTATGTAGCCTACACTGCTACATGTAGCTATGTGCTAACGTCAGGGAAACATGCAGTCTTGGTTGCCGATGTTATAAAGGATAGATCACACTCCTGCTGGAACATCAATGGTTGGGAAGAATTAGGTTTAGAAGCTTTTAGTGGTGGCGGCAAGGTGGTGTAGTGGTAAGCACTTTTGCCTCACAGCAAGAGGGTTCCTGGTTCAAATCCTGTGCAGAGTTTGCATGTTCTCCTGTGTCAGCATGGGTTTTCTCCAGGTTCTCTGGCTTCCTTCCACAGTCCAAAGACATGCAGGTTTATTGGTAACTCTAAATTGCCCATAGGTGTGAATGTGAGTGTGAATGGTTGTCTGTCTCTATGTGTCAGCCCTGTGATAGTCTGGCCCCCTGTCCAGGGTGGACCTCGCCTCTCGCCCAATGTCAGCTGGGATAGGCTCCAGCCCCTCCGCAACCCCCAAGAGGAACAGCGGTTACGGAAAATGAATGAGCTTTTCTTGGTGATTTTTCACAGTAAAAAGTGACGCTATACACAGTCATCCCCCAGCTGCAAGTACACTGCTACATGTAGCTGCATGCTAACACAGAAGAAACAAGTTATTTTGGTTACTGATGTTGTTAATTTCCCCCTGATTTCACTTTATATTCCCACTGGAACGTGTTAGAATGTGAAGAATTTGTTTAAAAACTTTTATCTGTGATTTTTACCACAGAAAGTGCCACTATACTCCATTACAGTCATTTCCCCGGCTGCAATGATGTTGCAATGATACCTCGAGTGCAGAAACGAAACATTAAGGCATGTGAAATATTGAAGTACAAACACAAAATACGAGTATGAATCCCAAATGAGCATGATAGGTCCCCTTTAAATTTGTCAGTTTGAAGCATAAACTCTCCAAAACAACTTAACTGGTTTGAGTGCACTCCAACATGATTACAAAAAGGAAGAGGTGTTACTTAACTTTTTATATGCTAGGATAGAAAAATGGATTCAGTGACCTACTGTGACTGTGTTTGAAGTTCAGATACAACATTTGAGAGGACATTTCTAGACTTACACTTGTGTAAATGTCTCAGCTTTTAAAGCCATCACATAGTCACATTGGTTATCTTCCACCTCCACAACCTCATCTCCCCCATCTACTCTTTCCCCATTCTTCTCTCAGGTGTTAACTAAATACTAATCTCATACCTGAAGCGCTGAATTAGGTTTTATGAATGTCATCTGATAGAGCATCTATGGCAACCTCTGAATTATCCCTCAAGCAGATACACGTCATTTTAAGCAAGAGAAACAGATCATGTTGACTCAACAGTGACTCATGTCTTTCTACACAGGCTGCTGTCATATCAATGTCCTGCATTCATGTGTCAAAGTTTACATAAACTGCCCACCCATTCACACCCACGGCTACGCTTAACCAATTCAAAACAGGTCTCTTTGAACACATCAGCATCCTTCTCACCTTAGGATATTGAAAAGTCATCATCGAGAAATTAATCTTCAAATTAGCATGTGTCTAACTATAACTCGCGTATTCCCGAGGTGACAAAGATGTGGGCGATGTAGCCCAATATTCAGACTGCGGATGAGGAGTCTGAGGTAATTCTAAAATTAACATCAGCTTTTAGGCCATTTAATCAGGGATGGAGCTGAAGGTGAAGTTATTGTGAATGAGGTTATGGTGAGTGGGGGGACATTTATAATTCACGTGTGAACACATGGCATTTCCACCAGCTTCCCATGCTGCAAGGATGATGACATCTCATTGTCACATTATTATCATACTAAGAGCAGAGCCTGTGCTAACCAATCACAGCTATGAAAATGCATCTGTATTACCTTTGTGTGTCACATTCATGGGTCAGTTATTGTCACTGGTGCCTGAATGAAAATGCTGCAAATATGATGAACTGCGAGAATGTGTGAAATGGATGAAGGAGCCAAAAATGTGACCTGAATATGCCTTTGTATCAAAATAAAATGTTCTCTGGAGTGATATCAGAAAACAACACATGCTGTGTAAGATAGAGCAGCCAGTATGACTATGTGCAGTGTGCAGGCCTGTCTAGTAGCTACATGTGTACTACGTGTACTCGCCCCTCTTTGCATTTTCTGTCTAGACCAGTGAGGATGCTGCATATCCAATGCGCCCCATCCCCATAAAACCTGATCGATATGAAATCACCGATTTCTCAGATGACTCTAAAATGTATGTAAAATCAATTATTGGTAGAAGAGCAAATAATCACATGGGGCATCCTGGTGGTCGCGGGGCGTGTGGATTTGCTCCACTAACCCATATTTACTGTATGTTGTCTACAGAAATGGCAGACGGAATATCATGTCCAATCCCTGTGGCTTGCGTGCTGTTTTTTCTCTGGAGATGTGTTGTTGCTTTGAGCGAAATGCAGTATGGTCTAATTATAAGGGAGACGCACGTCGGCTGTTACATCCCAGCAGCTACACTGAGTACAAGGAGAGGTTTTAAAAACGATGTTGGGTACACAGTCCACAGAAAACAGTTGGTGTTTACGCATAAATACGCAGATGGAAAAAAAAAGTAGCCCGGCTGGTTTTCACTGCTGTTTTTCCCCCCCTCTCCTCTTACCTTGGATACTCCGCGATGACCTCGCCTCACACAGCGGCGCAGCGGCTGATGATGTCGGCTTGTGTCTTTCCTTGCACGCCGGCCTCTTGTGTTATGTCCTTTGGAGGATAAGGCAAAACGCATGGAGTTTTCGAATCATCTGATCGGAGGCGAATAACGCGTTTATGTTCCCCTGATGATCATGTTTCTCTGAGGATGATGCGCTTCCCCCCGCCTGCCTGCCTGCCTGCCTGAGCTGAGCTGTGTTATGGCAGCCAGAGTGGAGACTGGAGACCCTCCCCCGGGCGCAGAGCAGTGTATCAGGTGGACACTCAGCATCCCCTCACATTCCTGCATCACCGGACGATAAAGGGCAAGCCTGTGCATAAAAAGCCTCTTGTTATTTTTCCTCCCTTATGGTAGTTTTTACGGTTGACATTTTAGCACGTGACATTTGTTCACTACATTAAGAGATGCTTTAAGCTGCAACACTCCTGCAGGGTTCCTCTGGGGGTTTACATTATGAATTCACACTGACCTTATCAAAGTTTATGGTGTTATTTCATGTCATATGATGTTACAAATGTGTATGCATGTGATGCTTTTCTGTATTTTTATAGCCACAGATCATTTCAATTTTTATAAATAAAAGATACACGGTGCAGTTGAGAGTGCCTTAGGTTAGCACATCACAAAATCACATGGACATAATTTACAGTAAAAAGGAACTGGCCAAAGGTTTTACTACTTTCAGACCATGTATGTGAGTAGAGCCACCTGCTGGCAATGATGGACCTGTCATGCTGCCTTTGTGTGCTCACAAAAAGTTGGAAATATAATGAGCAAACACCAAAATAAGGCTATGATTTTAGACATAAGAACCATGGTGACAGCCCATGGAAGAGGTGTAAAACATAATAATAGGCGTCAGTCTAAGTTTGGCATCGCTGGAGAGTATTAAAACATTTCTTTTGTGTGCTTTGTTGTATTTACTTTCTGCTTGCATGTCTTTATTCTACTGCTGCATCACATCTACAGTCACATGTAACCAGGAAATACTTGTGCACAGCATGTGGTTTACATGTGTGACTCATAAATCAAAAATATGAGCTCTAAAGCGGAACTTGAGGGCAGTTTTCTTCAACGGCATCTGTGTAACAGCTCCTCTGCTCCCAGGATATGCAGCCACATATGAGCACGTTCATGTCTGCAGAGGCTGTTGAGTATAATACATTTTTGGGGGGCATTGTTTGTGACGGCTAGAAAATGTAATAAACAAATGTGCTTCTTATGCAGCAGGCTGTATAGGATAATCCTCTGGAGGTTTATTGACTTTCCAAAGACATGAAAACAAATCATTTAGTGTAACTGGGCTGCTTTTGCTGACCTCTTGTGGAAGATACATTGAGTTAATGGAGTGATGCAATTAGGGATGGGTATGGTGCTGCCAAGTGAAGACATTCATGAGATGGGACGGATAATTTACAAGTGATTATGTAATGTCTCGGTAAGATCTGAGTTCCATACATTTAAAATGTAGCTCAATGAAAAGTGAAAGCAGGTGCTGCAGATTCATCCAAAAACTCGATGGAGGTCATTTCTTTGTAAAAAAAACAACTTTATTTTTCATATAGCTAATTGAGATGCGGCTGCTGTAATGACCACAGAGAGGACTGATGACAACACTTGAACAAGATGCACAAAAGAGTGAGTGATAGTCCTTCAGCAGATCTTCCTTTCTCAATTGTTTTTCCAGTCTGACTGGATCATGACCAACTGGCCCCTGGAAGACTCCCGCACCATGTAGTGGTCATATGGTTTTTATTTTTCAGTCACTGATGTCAGAACGCTGCCTGTAACCCGGGCCAATCTAAAACTTTAAATATCGAGGGGGAAAACGAGCGGCTCCTCCCAATTTGGACTGATCCTCGTCTCTGCTGAAATCTGATTGGCTCAGTCGTTATCATCGTTAAGAGTTTACACCTGTGCGAAGTTTTTTGAAGTAAACGTCATTAGCGGAAAGGGCGAAAGGCAAGAAGACTGGAGCTGAGGAAGAAATGTGTGTTGCAGAGACATGACAAGCTAAAATGCGAAAAAGTGAAACTAAAATTGTGAGATGTCAAATGCGCCAAATTGACAGATGTTTTCCGTGATGAAGGGGCCAAGGTTGCAGATGACTGTTGGACTGCTGCGCATTGACAGGTAGGAGTGTCTCCATTTACCTTGGCGTTTTGAGAAGGTATAGGCCTGTATACCTTGGTGCTTGGTTGTTTGTGTCTCCACAAACACACTTTTATTTGTTATGTTTGTATGGGACTGCACTTTAGTTTTAATTATGCATTGAAAAACATTAGAGTATTTAAGTGCGCATATATAAATGTGAGCATTTGTAACTGTTTAGGCATCCAGTGGACTGACTGTTGGAGTCTGGTACTGGTGTAAGCAGTACTTAGTATACTGTGACTTAATGCTCACTGAGGCTTGTCTGGACTAGTCTTGTTTTGATTCAGTGCAGTGGTGATGTGCTTACACAACCTGGGGGAGGCAGGCGTCAACAAGTAATCCTAGGTGTCTTTAAGGTCTTCAATATCATCAGATTCTCTTTCTACCACAAAAATGTGTGGTATAAAATGTTGAAATTACTGCCAAAAAATTCTCCAATAGGCCTCTCTATGTCGAAGTCCTTGGCTAAATTTCAGTCCTAGTCCATCCCTGATCATAACTCTATAGACTGTACTAGCCATTTGATGAGTGAGCTGTGTGGTTGTTCAGGGCATATGCAGTTCCTTTAAAAGTTTTAAAATGCCGTAAATCAGTTTTAGAAATATAAGGCCTTAAAAGTCATTAAATAGTCTGATTTTTGCCAAATTATTTCAGCTCTTCTGCTTCAAAGTCCACAATTTTGACTGTTGGCAAATGAAGATTAAGACTAACTCACTTAAATAACTATATTCCTACATAAAACCTACCTCTGCACAGGACTACACATAATACTTGACTTTATACTCACCTGCCATGCTTGAATAAGAAAAAGATGATATCCAAAAATTGGTGCTGATTTTATTTTGGTTAAAAAATAATTTTGAAAGGGTCTTAAAAAGCATTAAATGTAAGTTTCTGATAACTGTAGACACCCTGTTGTTCAGTTGTCAAACCATTTGATTATTGAAATTCTAATATAAGAGTCAGACAACACAAAAATATATTGTGATTACTCGACTACATACTAACATTAGTTTTTGGCATATTTTTATGCTGATTTACTGTCTTGCAAACTATAAAGTGATTTACAGATTATATAATCATGAGTCATAAATCTACGATAACTCTAATCTTTCACATTTCAAAAACAAAAATGTATTAGACTCTACTGCATTTATTACACACACACTTCAACAACTATCTAAAGTGGAAATTGTCTCAGACACATTTACAAGGACTGAGATTATTATCAGTAAGGGAGTCTGTGGGAAAATACAGTGCAGAGCTCTCAGTGAACTGAGGGATATAAAAGCCAGAACCATAAGGAATTTTTGTTGGAGAACTAAGGACACAGATGACAAAATAATGATAATAAATTATGTGTCAGTTATGGAGATTTTGCAAGAAAATCAGTGTTATTAAGAGTATGAATATGAGTCATCTGGTATTTAATCCTGACGAGTGTTAGTCAGTGTTTTGTGGTTACTAAACATATGATTAACTGAAAGCAGCATTTCAGGTGATTGGAAATAAATTCTGCCTCTTCAAAAGTTGCAAACATGGAGCGCGACTTCTGTTTAACAGCCAACACTGTAGCAACAAAAAAGCAGAATTTCCAGTCCATTTATTTCGTTGCTGTATCACTGGTTGTGAGTTATCAGCTAAAACTCAGGCACATTTTTAGTGCTGGCACATTTTCAGTTTCAGAACACAAGAATCCAGCCAGTCATCAGCGTCATTTGAAATGAACATTTCTTGGACCATGTTTCTGCATAAATATGCATCTTGAAGAAGTGTGTTTTGGTCTGGTACATATGCACAGTTTGTGTTTGGGCTCACTTTCTTGCTGCATGTATTCTGTGTGGCACCAGTAGCACATGCCACATTTCAGCTGGGGGCAGTGTTGCTCTATAAATACACATAAACATGTACAAATGCTATGCACTGTGTGGTGGTTCATAAAGTTTACTGTGTGTGTGCCTCTGTGTGTGTGTGTGTGTGTGTGTGTGGGCCGCAACGACTCAGTCACTTACCTAATTTACCCCATCATATAATTGAATTATTTTAGTTTCACTCTATACAGAAGTCAAAAAGAACTCCAGCCGTCATGCTCATCTCTAATTAACCGAAATGCACTGTGAATCATGTGGATTGCTCGCCCAGCTGAAGTTAATTGTCATGGAAGAAACACTTAAGCCTGCTTAAAAAAAAGAAAGAAAGAAAGAAAGAAAGAAAGAAAATATATTTTAAATACAGCATTCTCTCAGAGCATCTTTGTCCTAATCAGTGTAGCAACAATCATTATTCAGGGTTTAAATCATCAGACAAGAGGCATCGGTGTATCGATACTGTACCCGATTGCTTTGCTCCTCAGTAACTCAGTACATATTTTTCTTTTTATTTCCCAGATAATATTAAAACTTCAGTGGTTTCACGATGAAAAAGCACCGAGGCTTTTAGCTGAGGGCATTTCATGGATGGACAATGACGCACTGTGTTGTGGGTACATTCACTTCCTCAAGGCCCTGGAGACCTTTAGTGGGGAAAAGTCTTCTACCTGCATGTCAAATAGACTTCTGTCCCAAAAAAACAACCCAATCTGACCTTCATCGCTTCATGTTATCACACCTGAGAGTGAGAGTTCTTCAAGTAGATTTTGTTATTTAATAAGAATGTTTCTATGTTCTTATATCTTCTACAATACATTGATTGATCAAGCTGATTTGATTTATTAGTGTTTACCACAGCGCACACGCATCCTGTCTGCGGCCAATGATAAACCCTCACTACACATCTTAAGCTGTGCCCTTGTACTCGAAGCATCCACAGTTTGGCACTAGCGGGTATATCGTTCTGAAATAGGCCATGATGACAAGTTGTTCACTAGTGACCGCTGGCTGCGATATAAATTTTTCTTCTGTCCTGCCTGTTGGCTCTAATGCCAGAGCCAGAGAAAAGGTGCTGCTGTGAGCTTTATGACAAAATGCTTTATCCCCCATTAACCTTCACAGAGTGGGTATCAGGAGGGGATTTCAGGTGGAATAAAGCACCGGTGTCAATAAG